TGAGTATATATATATATATGTATGTATATATACATATATATTTGACTATATATATACATATATATATACCGACAAACAGAGCTGCCCCGTAAACCGTAGGCAGAGAGGGAGAAGAGGACAACAAACGAGGGGCTTTGACAAACTGTTTCGTTGGAGTTTCACCGACTCATCAGGAGGCTGATATATAGTCAAACAAAGCTGCCCGGTAAACCGCAGCTCTGTTTGACTACATATATATATATGTCTATATATATATCGTCACAAACAGAACTGCCCGGTAAACCGTAGGCAGAGAGAGAGAAGAGGACAACAAACGAGGGGCTGTGACAAACAGACTGTTGAGGCATCAGCCTCGTGATGAGTCGGCGACGAAACAGTTTGTCACAGCCCCTCGTTTGTTGTCCTTTTCTCCCTCTCTGCCTACAGTTTACCGGGCAGCTATAATACTCTACGGCGCTCTCGTGAGAATGACGCACTCCCTCGCGTCAACGCCACAAAGCCGCTCCGTCGAATCCCAGTAAACACACTTGCACGCGAAGAGTTGTGTGTGTGTATATATATATATATTTATTATATTGTCACATAACTATTAACTAAGAGCGTAAGCACGTGAAGTAGAAGAAGTAAGATGAGCGAACAAAAGAAAAATGAAAGGACAGACAGGCAAAGAGACAGACAAACCAGAATGACACAAAACAGTGTCCTCTTACTCTTTGTTTCACAGTATTATTATTTCTTTCAGTGTTTTACAAAAAAAATTACACTGAATCAAAGGATAAAAATAAAAAACAAAGACACATTGAAATCATTCAGTTTCTCAGTCTTCTTAATGCCTCCTCCACTGTGCCTCTAACGTACAAGGCTCGCCACGTTGATGAAGTTGAGCGCGAGCTGCCCCCATCCCCGTATGCCATAGCAACCTACTTGCACACTATGGGAAAGAGGGAGAGTGAAGAAAGAGGTGTTTAACACAAGGAAGAGGAGCAGAAAAGGAAAACCAATAGGCAGAGGGAGAACAAATAAAAAATGTTGACACACCATCTTCTTTCTTTTACTGCATTGTTCTTTCTTTCATAGTTTTGCAGTTTTGGTGAAGAGTCGTACCACGTTCGCTTTTCAGCGCACCTGCACTTCCTTCTTCATTTTTCACCCTTCGGACTTTTCTTTTGAGGGTGTTAGGGTGCAGGGTACAAACAAAGTAAAATGACACAAACTTATGTTCTTCTTTTACTGCATTCTTCACAGTTTTGCAGTTTTAGTGAAGGGTTCCCCACCTTCGCACATTCTTGTACACTCTTTTCAACGCACCTGCACATTTTTGTCAGGGTGCAAGGTACGTCTGAGTAAGACCCTCACGACAGATAGGACAACTGTCATAAGGATGCGGGCGACGGTAGCAGCCCTCTCGCTGATCTACAGGACGAAAACCATTCAGGTAAGCAACTTCGTCACAGCAGGAGCCAGGGCGGTTGCTACCATTAACCATACCTCTGAAGCATGCACGACAGAGGGCATGCCGGTTGCAAGCCATGACGATTGCACGATTGTGGGACGTTCACCATCACAGTTAAGTACACATTCGCTATAGCGCCCGTAGGCACAGATGGGACATACTGCATTTGGATGTAGAGGATGTTCACAATCCGGATACAGGTGGCATCCCTGCCGACAGAGGGCCCGCAAAATTATATGGTTGTAGTGATGTCGACAAAGTCGATGCTTTCCACAACCAAGTGTAACTATGTCAGTGATCTCACAAAGAAGGAGGTCACAAGGTGTTAGAGCAGCATGTGGGGGAATAAAGACTAAAGCAGGCACGGTGACAGACATGGAGGTAGGCATGGAGACAGACACAAAAACGGGCATGGAGACAGGTGTGGAGGCAGGCACAAAGACAGGTGCAGAGGTGGGGACGGAAGTACACGTGGTACCCATAGAGTCAGTAATCTGGAAAGAGACACATAGAAACAGGCACAGAGACAGGTACGGAGGCAGGCACAGAGATAGGCGTAGAGGCGGGCATGGAAGTACACGAGGTACCCATAGGGTCAATGACCTGGATCAGTTGCAGGTTAGGGTAATTACACACGATCATAGATGACAGTAATAGTTTGCACCATAGCACTGCCATTCCATAATTCCCAAGAACTAGAGGCACGGACAAAAGCGGTGTAGTGGCCAAGAGCATGTAGAATATAGGCACAAACGTGCRAACAGTGGTCCGGGTCGCCACCCGAAAGGGCACGCTGCATATCAAGTCGGCGCCTTATCAGAGCAGTCTCCAAAACAGAGACATTGAAACCCCCATGTCGAGCGTAATTAGTATCCTGTGGGGGATGCAGAGTCGGGTTATCGCCATATAACTCACGTTCCTGAGCATCAAGATCGAAAGCAATGGCCAAGAAAACAAAGTGAGTATATGGTTCCCGACGATAGGCTTGTAGGCATATGTTAGTAGCAGCAAGGCCACACAGATTCAGTGGAGGGCGGTCAGGCGGATTTTCTACAAAATCTCCTACAATCCCCTTGCCAAGTTCATCCTCAAATGGTCCCTCGCCATCATCCCTCCTGTTTTGTGTTTGTTGCGTTGCAGAAAGGTCTGCGGTCGGAGAGCGTTGCAGGCGTGGTAAGGATGCTTGGGCCGGCAAAAGACGGGGACGGGATGCTGGGGAGGGTCGTGGTGGGGAGAATGAACGGGTTCTTCTTCGTCCAAGAACAGAGATGGAGGAAAGGAGAGTAAGCTGAGGTTGGGAAGTAGGTCGAAGTCGACATTTAGGACGACGAAGTAAGCTTTCTGTAGGGGCAGAACATCATGAGAGAGTTTGTGTGGACGAAGTGGTTTGTGGATTAGGAAGAAGGGTAACGGATGGAGACAAAACCAGGGGAGGTAGGAGTGGTGAAGACAGGGGTGGTAGAG